GGGGGGGGGGGGGTGTCAAGCCCCTTTCTTTTTCTATGCTTATTTTGTGGGAAAAGTCATAAAACTTCTCCGCGCGAAACATTTGTATCCATTTCCCCCCAAACGGGGAAAAAAGTGTTGCAGGTCCCAAAATCACTTTTGGTGTCATTTTTGCACTCTGGGTGGGCCGGTAATCTGACACCCAACCTCACACCCAACGCGACTTCCTATTTTCGGAGTGATAGGGGACCCGAAAATGTGTAGTCGGGGTGTGCTAAGGATTTTAGGAAAGTGGGGTGGAGTCCCAGGTAGGAACTGAGATCTCTGGTGTCAAGTTTCAGGGATGGAAATGCAAGTGGTTTCTATGCGGAGTCAAGTCTTGGGTTTCGCCCTTTTCAGGGTTGAGCAGTTAGCTTCGCCAGCCCCGTCGCCTTGGGCGGACTCACACCTAGTGCACTTATGGAACACAGTGGGTGTCTCTCTGTTGAAACACCTGTCAGCAACGGGTTCCATAGATTTCTGAGTTCGACGTGGACGGCCTCAGCCGAAGACTGTGTTCTTGGTGCTCAGCTTCGGTGCGGGTCCGTCGTACGAATCCCACTGCTTAATAAGTGTTGTACAGATGGCACTCAGAGCACGGACTGCGGGGCCAGCAGTGCGCGATCGAATCCCAGGGAACTACCGTAAGATGGTGATAAGGGAGAAGGAGGTAGAACGGAGGGAAGTTGGTTTCAATGACGACGAACCCCGAGGTAAGGTGGTACTGATATATACCAGGGTCGGGGTAGTCTGGGGTTCGGGAATTCCGTCCAAGGGTCCGGTGGAAGTCCCAAGCACACAGCCGATCGTTCTTTGTTTGACAGGGGTAGGCTGGAAGCTGTAGGTTCGATTGGCGAAAGAGTTGTTCGTTTTCCCTGTATTCCTCGTGCTCGGGGTTCCTCAAACTGGCACGGTCGGTGATCCAAAATAGAACGCCGACCTCCATATTTGGCAAGGGGGGCTTAACTCATACATTTGGCCGTGCAAGGAGGGGAAGTGTCGGGTCAGGCAGACACGCGTATACGTGACCGGCTGCCGTTTGGCGATCACTCGTATACGCGCGTGCACCTGATGTATTCCCACCGAATCAACTCAGACAGATCGGATGGTCATTCGACGGCTATAAGGAACAAAGTGAGCATTGCATTCTTATACATCAGATGTCAATTGTGTGCAATTGATGCATGGGAAAAATCCAACCCATACTTAGGCAAATACATAAATCGCGACCTGCTCGTTGTACATACCTCCGCAACGATCCAACTCGATCATACATCTGGTAATCACAAGGACATAGCTATTTTAAAAGTGGGCGGAACCACATACATATCTCCACACATCAGCAAGACGTTTATTCCTTGCGCCCCTGTTTCTACAATTGACAATCCTCCATACAATCACAACGAAGAGTTGGGGGAGATAAAAATGCTTCATACATCAATCGAAGAAAAGACAAGAAGGTCTAAAAAGTGCCGCAATTGAGAATGGCTGAAGCCAAAGGTCAAAATTACATAGAAGATGCGAAGAAACTAATTCCCAATTTCCCACTTCAGCACACTACCTTCTCTCCATCGCTCTTTCTCTCTTTCTCTCTCTCAAGGTCCCCACGATGCGGGCAGTCTGTCGCATCGCACCCATCAACAACCCGAAGTTGTCACCCGCTTGGTCTGAGGATGCAAGCCAGGTTTGCACGTATGCCAGAATCCTTCGCGGCCACACGTCAACCTCGCATACCCGACACCAGCTCCGACAGCTCGTCAGATAGCCCAACTCCCTACTCACATTTTTGTCTCCTCTCGTTAGCCGATCCTCTCGACCTCGCTAACTCCCAAATGTAGATTAGAGAGCGAATTCGTCGCGTGTGCGAGCTTTATAGTAGTCAGTAGATGCCCGAGATAATTCCGGATTATGCTGAAG